TGCACTGCTGGTAGGGACTCCGTGGTGCATTGTGGGAGATGTAGTCTGCAGCCTGTTGACACCAAACTCGTGGGGCTTTCAGCTGTTTTTTTTCCAAACAGGCCGGGTGTGTGAGCAGGGATTGAGGGAGCTGGGCTGTAAGGTGGGGTCCTTGGGCAGAACCCCTCTGCTCTTCCCCCCTGCCATGCTGTCAGCCCCCCTAGGCTGAGCCTTAGCCCCCCGCCCGCCCCCGGCTCTGCCTCCAACAGGGCACCTTTCTGCTGCGTCACGCCTGCTTGCTGGGGTGGTCCATCCCCCTTCGGCACACTCGCTGATCAGCGCCTGGCTGGCATCGTGTACAACCACGGGCACCGGCTCTGGGTTCTCCGCGTTAGGGGCCCCCCGTGCCCACAGGGCAGGACTTGTGCCGGCTTGTAATGTCACAGGGCCCACCCCACCCGTCTTCCCCCTGCTGTACCTGACCCCAGCTCCCTGGGCCTTCCAGCCACTGCTCTGGCACTAACCCCTGCTGGGGGTCATAGAATATCCGGGTTAGAAGGGACCTCAGAAGGTATCTAGTCCAACCCCCTGCTCAAAGCAGGACCAATCCCCAACTAAATCATCCCAGCCAGGGCTTTGTCAAGCCGGGCCTTAAAAACCTCTAAGGAAGGAGATTCCACCACCTCCCTAGGGAACCCATTCCAGTGCTTCACCACCCTCCTAGGGAAATAGTGTTTCCTAATATCCAACCTAGACCTCCCCCACTGCAACTTGAGACCATTGCTCCTTGTTCTGTCATCTGCCACCACTGAGAACAGCCGAGCTCCATCCTCTTTGGAGCCCCCCTTCAGGTAGTTGAAGGCTGCTATCAAATCCCCCCTCACTCTTCTCTTCTGCAGACTAAATAACCCCAGTTCCCTCAGCCTCTCCTCGTAAGTCATGTGCTCCAGCCCCCTGGTCATTTTTGTTGCCCTCCACTAAACTCTCCAATTTGTCCACATCCCTTCTGTAGTGGGGGGCCCAAAACTGGACCAATACTCCAGGTGTGGCCTCACCAGTGCCCAATAGAGGGGAATGATCACTTCCCTCGATCTGCTGGCAATGCTCCTACTAATGCAGCCCAATATGCCATTGGCCTTCTTGGCAACAAGGGCACACTGCTGACTGATATCCAGCCTCTCGTCCACTGTAATCCCCAGGTCCTTTTCTGCAAAACTGCCGCCTAGCCACTCGGTTCCCAGCCTGTAGCGGTGCATGGGATTCTTCCGTCCTAAGTGCAGGACTCTGGGATAGCACCAACCAGCCTGTCATGTGAGCCCGTACTGCCCCTGCCCTGGCTCTGTAACCGGCCCCGCTCCCCCGGTTGGAGCAGACACTCTTGTAGCGGCTGGTGGGAGCACTGGACGGGACTGATTGCGCTGGCAGAGAGCTCAGCGCTTCTGAAAATCAGGGCTGCGGTTCGGCCCTTGACCATTCACTCGCTGGTCTTGGCCCAGGCCTCAGTGTCCTGCAGCCCCCGGCGCCTCCCCCTTCTCTCCACAGCTCTGTCTTTGGAAGCCGGGGATGAGACACTTTGGAGTGAGGTCTCTGATTCTCTTTCCTGGATTGCTCACACACACACACACACACCCGCCTGCCCCCAGGAGGCAGAACAAACCTATCCTGGGTCTGTAATGTCCCCCCATACCTGCCGGCCTGGAAGCGGGGTCCAGTTTGCTGCTTCAAGTGTCCCTAAGGTGGGCAGGTGGGGGATTGTGGGGCTGCCCCCAGGGCTGGGTGGCTCTAGGCCACGCGGCTGGAGAGCTGAGATGGTGCTTGGCTGGTTACGGGAAAATGGAGATTTATAAACAAGGGGTGTCTCTGGAATGGGGAGATGCCCCTGCTCCCCACCCCTACAGCAGGCTGGGCATCCTACGGTCAAAATCCCCCAGACTCCAACAGCTGCAAGGGCAGGGCGACCTATGGACCAGCTGCTGGTCTGGTGAGTCCCAGGCCGTTCACTGCCCTGGAGCTCAGTCCTGGGGTCATCCCCTTGCCAAGGGGCCTGGTTCCCCGCTCCGGGGAGGAGGTGGTTGAGTGAAATATGACTGGAGGTTGGGGGCTGCTGGTGAATTAGCCCCCCAGCTGGCGCGGCTGCAGCACAAGGCCAGGCCCGCTGCTCCCAGCCATCCCTCAGAATCCACAAAGGGGGCAGTTGGCCTGTTTTCTACCACCCTTCGGAGGAAGGATCTGGTTCCTGCATGCAGAGAACATCGAGGTCCCAAGGCCGGCAGGGGCCAGTGCGATCAGCTAGTGCGTGACATCCTGTGTAGCAGGCCCAAGATAATTCCCAGCGCAGAGTTGTTAGAAAAATGCCCCGGCTTCATTTAAAAACAGGCCGTGGTGGAGAATCCACCTCAACCCTCGCTCTATGGTCCCAGAGGTTAATGCCTCTCACCATTCAAAACTGACCCCTCCTTTCCAGTCTGAATTTGTCCAGCTTCAACTTCCAGCCAGCGGGTCGTGTTTGACCTTCCTCTGCTAGACTGAAGAGCCCTTGATTAAATATTCATTCCCTGGGCAGGTTCCCCCCTTCACCTTCTCTTTGCTAAGCTGTCATGGTATTCCTAGACCATCAGGGTTGGAAGGGACCTCAGGAGGTCATCTAGTCCAACCCCCTGCTCAAAGCAGGACCAACCCCCAAATTGCCCCCTCAAGAATTGAACTCCCAACCCTGGGTTTAGCAGGCCAATGCTTAACCCACTGAGCAATCGAGCTCCTTGAGTCTCTCACTACCAGGGAGGTTTTCTAACCCTCTGATCATTCTCATGACCCATCTCCGATTTATCAACATCCTCCTGGAATGGTGGGCACCAGAACTGGAGCCAGGATCCCAGCCGCGGCCGCACCAGGGCCAAACATGGAGGGGAAAGAACCCCTCTACTCCTATGCGAGATGCCCGTTCATGCAGCTGGAACAGAGCCCTGTGCCAGGGAATGATACATAGGCTGCTCTTGTATTGTGCGGCCAGGGTAGGGGGATTGGTGGCAGGGCACAGATGGGGAGCAGACCAAGGAATGGGTCTGTCACCCCATCCTCTTGGAGAGCTGGGCTCCCAGCACGTGGCCTCCAAAGGAACCGAACCGGGAGGGTTGCTCCCCGTTACGAGGGGCCCAGCTCCAGTGAAAAACCAGGCGTGTGGAGCCCAGGGCTGGAATAGGGGGTGAAGGGGAGTGGG